AAAAAAAAAAAGAAAGACAGGCCCACCTCACCAGACTGACCCTGGAGCTGCGCCTACTGTGGCCTCAGCCCTCTCCTTTGGCTCTAGCTAGACTCAGGGCACTTGCCAGGGTACCCAGGTTCCTAAGCCCCTAGAGGGCAAACACCAGGAACTAGGAAATTGGTCATGGTGAAATGACACATTCAGATCATGGGCCCCTTCCTCCCTCCCCTTCTGGGTGCTTTAATGTTTGTTTTTTTAAAAAATGCATTTGGTACAGGGTCTTACTATGCAGCTTGGACCCGTAGTCATCCTCCTGTTTTCAGCCTCCCCAGTGCTGGGATTATAGGCGTGCACCACCACACCTGGTCTCAGTCATGGATCGGCATGCCCTGCGCAGCGTGTGGGACTGGGGATTGAACCCTGGTCCCTGCGCTTGCCAAAGCAGGTGCTTAGTCTGCTTAACTATCTCACCAGCCCTTGGGTCCTTTAATCTTGATAATGACCTATCTACTCATAGCACCCTGCCTTTTTAAACTTTTTCAAGGTTTCTTCAATCTCAGATGCAAGCCTTCACTAACGATGAACTTCTCACACTGGCTGAAACACGATGGGAGGTTCTGGCCTGAGTGCGTATCCCCCTCCTCCCCGACCCCACAGGGGGCAGGGCTGGCTGGCATGTGGTGCTGGTGGCTTGTGGTGCTGGGGGATTGAACTGCAGTCCCTGTGCTTTGCTAAGCTTTTTCTGAGTAGGTGCTTTAGACCACTGAGCCATCTCACCAGCCCCTCCCTCCCTTTCTTTTCCTCCTATTTCTCTGCCACACTGAAAAACCCAACAAATAATATTAGTGTTGTCATAGCCTGAGAGATATTTAAAAATAATTCCTCCATATAATTGAATACTCAGAGAAGAGTGCCAATTCCTCACAAATCACTTGATGATGAGAAAAGATCTGATATTAAGGGCCAGATAGTTCAGCGGATTACAACCCCTGTTTAGGCAGACGCAAGGCCTGGGGTTTGATCCCCAGCATGCAGCCCCCTACCCCAGATGGTGACTGAGACTGGGCCTGGTGGTGTGCACCTGTAATCCCAGCGCTTGGGAGGCTGAAAATAGGAGGATCACTATGAGTCCGATCTGTGTAGTGAGACCCTGTAGATCCTGTACTAAATATATTAAAGAAAGAAAGAATGAAAGAAAGAAAAGGAAAAAGTCAGGGTCCAAACCAGGCGTGGAGCTGCCCCAGGCTCGCGGTTCTTTGTGACACATGGAGTCAGGATGCCACATAAGAACAGTGCTGTCCCCTGGGTTTCCTGCAGATTGGTCCAGTCCGGAGCCCGGGTGACCACTTCTTGCACGTCCTCCCTGGCTGGGGGCCCTCCTGGCTCTTCCTCTTCTTCCCAGGGGCTGGGGGCGGTGGTGTGCATGAGGAGCCTCAGAAGGCCACACCCTGAGCTCCAGAGGCCGCCTCATCTCTCAGCTGCCAGCACTGTGAGCTGCCACAGAGGGGCCTGGGCCCCTAGCCTGAGACCCTTACCTCCAGCCAGCACCTGCTGGGGCTTTGTGGTCCTCAGCAGACAGGTCTGAGACGAGGGTGACAGGATGACAGGATGACAGAGCTTCTGGGAAGGCACAGCCAGCTGGCCAAGACTTGTTCCTGGGGCTGTGGTGGCCCTGTCACCTCAGTGGTGCTGCCTCGCTCCTCCTCCTGCCCATG